CTCACGGCAAAAAGAATGGATTGCAATTGATTAAATCGTACAGATTAAGTACTATGTTGAAAAATCTACAGCCATTAAGACTCACCGAATTCTCTTTGATGTCGTGAACTTGAGATTCCATTTGACTGTGATCTAGATCAGGCTTGGGAATATCATGTTTATTGCACAGGTCTGATACGAGGTTCTGAAAAGGAGAAATTACAGTGAAATGGCAGATTCACATTGAGTAATAAGTCTAGGAAACTTCGGGGTTTAGCTCCTAACCATCTTGCGATTCTAGTTTCAATCTTACCGGCTTCACATTATCAACTGCGTCGAAAGGGAAACGGAAATTTTACGTGTATTATATTAAATTGACATCTTGACATCTCCAACACTTACTCTGCAAGTTTTAGCCTCTGTCTCTAGTAATGCCTTCACAAGACTGTCATCACCGATTCTGTTTAGAATATGAAAAAGATAATGAAAACGAGTTGTGTTTATGAATTAATAGTTATAAAATGTAGGTAAAGTCTGCATACGAGCCAAGTGGCTCATCAGGTCAGCGCTTATCCCGGTTTCAGTAGCATGAAGCGACTAGGAGTATTTCTACTCCCCTCTGGATGGGGTGGAGAGAGACACTGTGAGAGTAAAGTGTCTTCCCAAGAACACAAAACAATGTCCCCAGCCAGGGCTCCAATCCGAACCTCTTGATCCTGAAGCAAGCGCACTAACCATGAGGCCACCGCCCCTCCACAAAACGTGGAGAAATACAAACTCTGTTCAAAACCGTACTAATCTCTATGCATGCTATTAAATGACAAGGGCAATAACTCGTTTTACCTGTTTATTTGTTCCTGGAGTACTTGAATCACAGCGGATGCCTTCTCTACAGTAACCACAGCTAACGAGAGACGATAAGATAAGCTTACAAGAACGTTCGAAGTACAAGCTAACTACAAGCAGTCTTGAGCTAGAGAAAGAAAACGCCACATCATCTACCTATGTAAATACTCGATGACTTGCGTAAAAATTGGAGAATATTCAAATACGATAAAGACACATGATGGTTACCACTCAAATGAGAGCGAAGATTTCGACTCCAGCCAACTCTCAGCTGAAACTTGCCGTTATTTAGGCGGCAAGAAAGCGAGAAAGTTAAAACCTTACCTGTAAGACGATCCTTTTCGCCAATCTCTGCTTCTAGCTCTGCGCTCTCTTGTTGTGCTTTCTCCAACGACTTCTTATCTTCTGCAAGTTCCTTTAACAACCGTTCAAGTTTTTCTTGACTTTTAATTCCCTCTTGATTTAGTGCGTCTCTTTCCTCTTTTAACCGTTTAGCTTGTTTGAAATTTTTTTCTAAACAGCAAAAGTAAACTTAGTTAAAGGCGATACCTCCGTGAAATGAAAAGCTTTTAGTTAAATTTGACACGTGATTGCCTTGCTTTTGCGTTTCCAGAGCTTCACAAAAACACGCAAAACGCGATGTTCTGGCTAGGACCAATCACAAAGCAGCACGAAACAAAACAGTCGTGATCTTCGTTAAGGTTACGTGAGTTTTCCGGCGCTTTGCGCTGGTAACATGTTCTTCCGCGCTTGACCCTGTCACGATTTTATCGCTTCCCGCGCTTTTACGCAGTTACATCTTTTCCCGCGCCAAGCACCAGCGATGTGTTTTCGCCTTGAGTTCTGATTGGTTCATTGCATTTCCGCTGTAACTATTTTTTAATTTTCCGTTTTGAGAAGTCTTCCTCCATTTAACCTTCACTTTACGTTCATATTGATTACCTTTCTTTGCTATTTCCTTGGCTGCGTCCAGATCAGATATCTGAGACTCGACCTCACTCAAAGTTTTTCTGAGTGTCGCCACGCCTCTTTGTCCCAGCTGGATCTTGTTTGATAGGCTCGTGATTTTCTGGGACACTTCCTTCTGCTTAACATGAAGACTAAGTGAAGGGATAGAGCGATTTTCAATTGAGTCTCGTAAAACCAAAACCAAAACAACTCAGCTAATCTGAAACCGTATATTAAAACCAACAGCAAAGTAATTGCCTGATTACTTTCGACACCCAATTTAAAACCTCTAAGGACTATTTCCACTATAAATTACAATATTTAGAGAGGAAGCTAGAGGAAGTTTTCACACGGGTCCTCTATCCTGGCCGAATTGCAATTTGGAAATGTTGGTTTTTGTGGAGGGAGGAAAACCGGAGAACCCGGAGAAAAACCCTCGGAGCAAGGCGAAAACCAACAACAACTCAACCCACATATGGCACCGGGGTGGCATCCAACCTGGGCCACATTGGTGGGAGGCGAGCACTCTCACTACTGCGCCATCCTTGCTCCCCGCAATTTAAATTAGGTAAGTCATTATTCTGAATGATTCAGAGTTCTAATGCCTGAGTTGAAAGAATTTTTGTTGCCTTTTTGATACCTCATATCTCCTTTCATCATAGCTTGCCTTTTTTGTCGCAACTCAACGATAATGGTTAACGTTTTGAAACATGAAGGAACGAAACACCCGTTGATCATCGTATACCTTACTGTGAACAACAACTTTCCAAGATGGAGAGGTATCGTAAATTTATCAACGAACCTTGCTAGTTTAGAGTCTGCGTTGAAAGTGAAATGCTTCATGTTTAGAAATTCTTGAGCAGACTGTTGTTGTTCTTCTAGCCATTTGATTGTCTGTTCAGATTTCTCCAGCTCATCAGAGACAGATGAAACAACGCCCGCCAACCTACAAAATGAAACAACAGAAGTGGTTTGTTTTCTCGTTTCTCTAAGGCCCCGTTCACACAACGCCGGAGGAATTTTAAACCGGAGGTTTCACGCTCAAAATGCATCAAATGTTTTCCGTCCACGGTACGCTGAAGGAATTTAAATACGCAACAATCACCGGTCATTTTGGATTTGAGTTTGAGGAAAACTCGGTCAGGGAAATCACGTGATTATCGTGACGTCATCGTTTTCGACAAGATCCGTTTTCAAAATGTTTTCCGTCCACACGAAAACGCAAAGTCGGAGTTTTCAAATTGCTCCGGTTTGAAGAGCGTTTTCGAAAAGCTCCATTTTCGTGACGGATTAGTGTAGATGGTAGGTCTAACCGTAGAAATAAAGCTGCGTTTTCAAATTTCTCCGGCGCAGTGTGGACGCTGCCTCAGACCACTGCCAAAAAACAGTACTTTTAAACAAAAAATTCGAGACTCACTCTTGTTCTCTTTTGTACTTCTCCTCTGTTTGGTCATCAAACTCTTTCTGGCTAAGCGATAACAACTTCTAAAAGGACCAAAGCAACAGTGCGATTTATTTTAGAGTAGTTTCCAACTGAGAGGCGTAAAACCAAAACCACTTACAACTCTAACCAACCACAAAAGACACAAAAATCCATTGGACCAATCAAACTCAAAGTAAATACACGCAGTTGATGCGAAGCGCGGGAAAACGTGTTCGAGCAAACCACCATTGGTTTTGGTTTTACTTTCTGATCAGATGAAAAAGTGGCGTTAATTTTTTAAGCCAATCGTGTAGCGTAGTAATGAATTGGAGAGCTCCTAAATGGTTTGATTGGTCGAGAAATGACACAAACCCATTCGGAGGAGTCTAACACAATGTTGAAAATGCCTTTGAGTTTAGGACAATTCATTACGCTATTTATTAACTCACAAATTCCTCTTGTAATGACTTCTCTCTTCTTTCTATTTCTTGTTGTTGTTTATCAAGAGCTTCCTGTTGAGGACTGAATTCCGTCTTGACAGACTCAATCTTGTTTTCTTCCTCTTTTATGGCGTTCTTAAATTCCGTTTCTTCCTCTCTTAACTTGGCAAGCTTTGCTTCTAATGCTGAAATTTCTCCCTGCAAGTAAAACAGTAGGGATAGAGAAGTAATACATCAAAAACGAAAGACTGTGTTTGACCATATTTCCAAACACCGAGAAGAGAGTTGAAAATACGATGCGCAGCGGAGTATTTTGACGAACTTCGAAAAGTTTGCAAATGTGGTCAAACACGGTCTTTCGTGTTTGATGTATCATATAATTATTCAAGTGAGTTGATTTCACCTGCAGAAATCCTCTCTGAAGCATAAGCTCTTCCTTTCTTGTCTGGAATTCCTCTGTTTTTTGCAAAATCTCGTTGTTTAATTCCTTATTTTCAGCTTCCATATGTTCCTTGTCAAGTTTCAAGTGATCCATAGTTCTTTCTAACCTCTGTCGATCAGAATTCAAACGTTGCTTTTCCTTCGTACTCCAGGTAGAGCTGATTTCTTTGTGACTCGCAAGACACTCTTGTTGTTCTTCTCGTACTTCTTGGAGAGTTGTCTGGCTCTGTCTGTAGATATCAGCCTCTTTTTGTGCTATTTCGGCTCTCAGCTTCAATGCTCTCTCAACCTTTCGAAAAACAAGTTCGATTCAACTTTTAACATTTCAAAGGGAAGAGGTGGAATAGATAAAGAAAGGCAAGAGGGAAGGATGAAAAAAAAAGGCAGGAAGACGAAGGTATACGTCTGAAACACACATATGTAATCGTATATAGCGCAGTTACTCCACCATGTAGGCCTTACTGCTAAGATAATCCCCCTCAAGTTATTTTTAGACAGTTACCACGCGCGTTGCATGGATGTTTTCTTGGACGATGAAAATGCTCATAAAGCCGCTTGGACTGTTCATGTGAGCAAACTCGGCGTCACGTGATTGGCTATTTCTAGACCCCCCTATTTTGGTGGAGCCATGATGCGTACCTATGGCATGGAAAAACAAGACTAATAGGACACCAAAGGATACAAAAAAAGGTACGTGATGTACGATTAAGTATTTACCGAACCCAAATTCGGCCATATCAGGCTCACTGGCCTGATTTCACGAGACAACACGTCCGTGCTAGTAGACGCTGCTTCAGATTGGCTAAATCCGAATTGGGGTGTGGTGAATTATTTTATTAAGACCAATAACTGTATGCTATTGTACCTTGTTATCTTGAGCTGGTAATCTATATCTTGCACATTCCAGCTCTGCTTTAAGTTGTTCCATTCTGTCACTTATCTCTTCAGCAAGGTCGTAGTTCTCACTGGCTAAGGCTAGGCTTTCCTCCACTTGAAGTTCCTTAAATTGTTGTTCCTTTAAACTCTCTACATTGTGTGATCCTGTGTACATCTGTAACAAGTCTTCCTCAAGGATACTAAGACACCTTTTGTCTTCACTTCATTGAACAAAAAAAAATTATAAAATCCCCGTTAAGTTCATTTGAAATGCACTTTGTATTTTGTCTTTCTCTCTAGTTAAAGCTCCACAAATGGACACTTCTCATGACTGACATTCACATTTTTCATGACCGAATGGGGGAATAAGGCTTGTTGTTGTTTTTTTTTTTCTGTTGTTGTAGAAAAACACACTTCTTAATGGACATTCAATCAGTCCTGGTCAACCAAGAACAGTAAATTTTGAATCTAACACAAGCAGCCCCTCTCCTAAAAGGCATTTTATTCTGTTCCCAGGAGTGTCCATTTGTGAGAAGCTAGACAATAAAGAGGTTTGACTAACTGCTGGACTAATAATAAAAATGGTTATCTTCACCCATTGAGTTCTCTGTCATACCTTTCCATGCCGAACAACTCAATAAGAGGGGGTGAGGCAGCTTTATCCAAAATTGCTTCTCCTGGTCCTGGCTTTAACCCTCTGTTACAGAGTCTAACTCGCAAAACCACTCCCTTACACAGGCTCACCTTCCTCCTCCTCCTCCCCCTGACCATAAACACACACTCGCAAACCCTCCTAACCCTATGTTACATAGAGTCACTAACTCAACCACTTCCTTATGCAGGCTCACCTTACCCCCACACCCACACAACCTCAGTCTGTCCCTACCCTACACATAATATCTCTTCCCCTCCCCTGCATTGCTTCTCTTTCACTTTAGGTTTACCCCTCACAAAGAGTCACGTTACCTTAACATTGTAAGTTGTGATTTCAAGTGCTGCAAAGCAATTCTCAGTTTCACTGAAGCTCCATGCAATGAATGCACACTTTCTGGCGACAGGTCAAGATTGCACCTTTCCAGATCACTAGCAGAATTTACATCACCTGTCACCTGTTTTAGCCCTGGGGTGGCTTGCTCACTAGAACCAGGTTGACATGTACTGTTGGGAGCACTGCTCAACATTGAATAGCTAGTCACTGCAAAGCTGTCATTCATGTTCACATTAAGAATCTCAGGAGGATTCTCGATTGAATCCAAAAACATCTCACTTTCTTCAATGTCCTCAGTTCCTTCTAATCTCTCGAGGGATTTTTCTAGTTTGGTCATTTCAGCGGCAGCTTCCAACTGGCCATCTGTCAAATCACCGTGAAGATTAACATTCTGACTTTGATCTAAAATCTTTAAATGCACATCGTCTTTTAAGGGTTCTTCCCTGGAAATTCCTGTCAGTGTGCCATTGCCTGTTTGAGCTGTCACATCTTCAAACAAATTTTCATCTGATGAAGAGGGAGTTCCAATAGAATACAGTGGTGTTGGAGTTTTTGGATTAGGTCCTTCAGCTCTTGCATTATTTTCTGCATTTGTTGCATCTAAATCACAAGTTAAAACCTTATAATAAGTTACTGTACATTACAAATCAGGGATATCCAGTGATCAGACATGACTGTTATCTCATCAATACCAATAATAATTATTGTTGAATAGTGCAAAGATGAAACTTGCAAAAAAGGCGAGGATTGCGGCACTACTGGCATCACACCCCCCTCCTCCATCACCACTCTATTCTTCTCTCACTTCTCTTCTTGCTGCTCCCAACTAACTGAATGCCTGAAAGAGCCCCTCAGGTTTAAAATGCTGTTGACCGTTGCTGTTGTCATTGTTGTTGTTTAGTCCATCTATTTCTTATTTATCAATGTATGATACTTCAAAGCTCAAAATTCCTTGATCTTTTCTTTTACTCAGGAACCATGTCAACTGCAGCTAAAAGCTTTAATCTGTTACTCTAATGCTTCAGCATGTAATGCCCCCATCTGTATAATGACAGTGTTCACTTATTGACATTGTAATCAGAACATACCTTTGTGTGTTTCAGCTCTTCCTTGTTCCACAGGATCACAAACTTTCTCCTCAATTGCAACCACATCATCATTTTGTTCATTAGTGTCCCTTAATTAATAATCAAAACAATATCCAACAAAAAAGAAGATATCAATTTACAAAGACACATTCAACAATCAATAAACCGCTGCTGGCCATCCAAGTCAAAAATATTTAAGTTAATATAAACAAAAATTTGAATTAATTAACTATGCTTACCCTTTACTGTCAGGTTGTCTAGCATATCCAGGTCTGACCATATGCCGAGTTTTTTTCTTCTTTGTAGTTGATTGTCCAACTTGTTGTGGAATAGGTGATGGCTGTATAGGTTCAGGTAACAATTCCATTTCTGGTCTCGCTGTAATATCATAGAGAAAGGTCATTTTAAGTCTGTTTTCAAGCCTAGGGTAGAACCAGGCCAGTACTAATAAAATGACAGCTTCCATGATATAAAGTGGCTAGGAATATTGCTACTCACTCTAAATGGAATTCTTGGGTTCACCCCAAGTAATAAAACTTTGCTGAAATCTTCTGCCAAGCCCCCCTCCACCCTCCCCCCACCCCCTTACAAAACAATGAAGAACTCTCATGAACTAGTCATGAAGTGTTCCCAAGTCAAACTCGGTGCAACTCACCTCATTTGCTTTCTATCTTCTCGTATCCAACACGTGCTTGTGGAATAATTGTTAACTATTACACTATAAGTTGTTGTGTGTATACCTAGCTGTTATAAATATACTTTGTAATGTGGGCATTTGAATACTTTACCGAGGACTGCCGCAAAGCCTTGTATGTTTTCAGTGTCTATTTCTGTTAAACTGCTCTGTTCTTGAGGTTCTTTGGTAACAGGAGTAACGTCAGTGTGCCTCATCAAACTTAGGTTGTCACTCGCTGCTCCATAACTAGCTGTTACGGTCATGCCACTAAATAAAGAGGCACCAGCATCACTGTCCTCTGTCCTCTCCCTCTGAAATAAATTTTTCCAAAAAAAAAAGTGAATCCTTAGTATAAAGCTTAACAAACATACCTGAGGGGATCCATCAATAAAAGCTGGGTAAATAAATTTAAACCCAATTCAATCGGTCTGAGCTCCACTGAATTCGATTAATCGATTTTTGTTGTCAATAAAGGGTCTTAATTTAGCGATTTCAAGTGATTTTAATCCACCGTGCACAGTGTCTTAGGTTTTTAAACCAAACAAAGATCCAACTTTTTATTTCACTGCAACAACTTTTAAGTAAAATTAATACCATCGTTTTTCATTTAACCATTATTTTAGTTCTTCTTTGTACATCAAAAAGAAGATCTGGCCATTACCTAGTAATAAATATATAAAATCCAAGCAAAGCGAATCACTATGTAAGATAACGCGGAAGTGAAGTCTTAGTAGAATTGCTTCATAACTATCTAGAAAGCAAACGTATTTACACACCGAAGTAATCGGTAAACCATCTCCAGAAACTTGAGATTTTTTATCTCGGGAAGATGAAGGTCTCAGCTTCCGTGAACGAAAGAACAACGACATGTCTTACTTAAAATGTCTCAGTTTCATCGAGTTGATCCGCCATATTGAGTTATTAAATTCGCGCCTGCGATGTTCGACCGCTTTCACGACGTTTACTAGTGCCAGTACTCTACCAAACCGTGCATAGTGACCTGTGTCTTAGCGCGGAGACAGTAAATTTCTCCCAGTAAATTTCTACACTACCAACGTCAAATTACATGCAAGCAATTATACAAAATTCTTCATTCCCCTATCCCGTCTTTAAGTGGTCCTGGGATAACAAGCTTCCCTCGCCATGCGCTTGTATTTACTTTTTACCCTTTTAGTAACCCCCTCCCCTCCCCCCGTCCGTCCCTGGGGTTGTCATACACTGTACATCTATTTATATATCTGACTTTCGTCTCTTCTAGACTTAAAGGTTTTAGTTTTCTTTGTCTTGTCTTGTGTGATTATTTTTTTACTAGACACATTTTCTTGATGTGTTTTTGTTTGCATTCGGCCAGCCATAACAGATGATATCTAAGGTTCTATGTTCTCTTGTTTAAACAAGGCAGGTAAAATTTGACTTAGGCTCCATCGACAAACATCTTAATTCAACAAGATGATACATGACAAAAAAATAACGCTTTACCTCTTTTTTATTATTTTCCAACCATTAACGTTGCCACCGTGTTTTGTCCACATAAATGCAACTGGTTCAACAGAGACAAAAACCGCTATTCAAAGCTTCATTTCATTTGAATAATCTGCATTGAGAATGTCCCTATAGAATTTTCAAATCTTCGACTCCTTTAATTTGTTTTTGACAGTGTTTTTGACCCAGGCGGCGTTTTGTAAACTTTTTTTATTTTTCAGCTACGTTTTATAATGTGCTTGTGTTTGCGTTTTGTTATTGCCCAACCGGTGAAGGTCGCTCGAGGGCGACATTTGAGCTGAACAGGACTTTGGTCTCTATCTAGAAATACATCTTGGAATTGAAGCACTGGATAAGACATACACAGTTAGATCTTTTGTTTGTATCTATTAACGTAAAGAATGTTCTGCAAATTTGCCTCTAAAAATGACCTTATTTTCTAATGTTTCAGTCATCAAACATCTTTTGCATAAAGCTGTTTGAAGCAACAACGTTTCACGGGTGTCCGTTTTAATTGTAAGATGTAATATTTTTTTTTTTTTTTACATGCAAATGTAAAAACATTTTCTTCCACACCTTTGTAAATAGCCCCTAGGTGTGACCAGGCCTGAAGTTTGACGCTATTATACTTCTGAGAAATCTTTGAGGTCATTTTATCGTCTTGGCCCCAGCTGGGAACATCTTTCTGATAGCATCTTTTATGAGCTTGCGTAATTTACATCAGCCAGTGAATTTTCATAACGCTTATTTACTGATCAGCCATGTTGCTGGAAAACGAAGGTACAATTTGTGACAGAATGAGGAGGGTTACAATTTAGGCTACGTCTCTACCGAGCTGATAGGTATCTCTAATCTTGAGAAAAATAAAGCGTTTTATCCTTTGTTCTGTTGCATTAACCCAAAGTTAAACGCCACCCTTGTTTCCTAGAGATGCGACTGTATTGTCTGGTATTTTAGTCGGGCAGCCTTTATAAACAGTTTGAATCAACAGAATGTTGTTAGCATCAACCTATCTCTTGTGCTACTAAAGCAAAAGCTTTTAAGACCTTTTTATCTTGTAAATAGCCACAGGCTATTTACGTAGCTTTCATGAAATTGTTGAGAACGGTTTCATCTTTTCGTCTCATTTGTCATGTCCATGGTGACTTGTTAACAAAGTCCAGGGGTGGCGAATGGTCTTTCAAAAACTCTGGGTCTCGTAAACTTTTACTCCAATTTCACGGGTCTCGTAGTCTCGTTTTTTAGCGATTATGTGCGTCTCGCAGTCTCAATTTTTATACGAAGCTGTCTCGGGGTCTCGATTTTTCGCAATCTAAAAAGTCAAAATGTCTCCGGCTCGCAAAGAAAAACGCTTGTCTCGCTGTCTCGCAAAGTCTCGCATTTACCATTCGCCACCGCTAAGTCCGTCTCGAAGAAGGCGTAAAAAAATGGCCCCAATTGTATTTTTCTAGCCCTGGGGGGGGAATCGGATATCCCCTACTGATTGGCTATATATTGGGTATTGTTTTCGAGCGGTTTTGGTGTGAAAATGGGCATACGTTTTGACCATTTTGGTCTGAATTAGGGTATCTTTTTAAAGGGGCTAATTTTTTCGACAGCAAAATTAGCAATCGTTTTGTCGCCTTTCTCAAAGTGTTTACGTAAATGGAAGTCAAATTCTGGTTAGCTGTGGTCACATATTAGAGCCATGTACTGATTTTAGAGGTCTGAAAATGAGGTATTGATTTTTGGCTCATGTCTGAAATCGAGTATGGAAAATCACAAATTTTGGTCTGAAATAATAGACCGTCAGGTCTTCAAGGTCTTTCAAGGTCTTAGCCAGACACCCCAACCAAAAACTTTGGGGAGTATCTCCTCGGGTTTCCTAGACGTGTATCCGTCTTTTCATTCAACAACTGATGCTTTGCTCTTAATCCGGTATTACCAGATTACCCAGCAGGTGACCATAAATGTATAAAACATTTCCCTTTACTTG